TAGTGCACTCTCGGGGTCCCATTTGATCTCTGTGGGCACTTGGCATACCAATATCCCCAATAAATAATGGATAATATCCATCCAGGATGATGATTAAAGGCAAAGCCTAGGGATTTAGTTCCAAAGCGGCACTAACACAGGAAGCTGGAGGAGGCAGAAAACACAGGGAGCGTGTGAGTGGATGTGAGGGGAAACAGTTCTATGAAACCTGGTCAATGGCAAGTATCCAGTCATGGACTCTTGATGTGCTCAGACTCTCACTTCCTACCTTATAAAACAGAACAATAGGCCATTCACTCAAATATTTGGAAATACTGCTTTTTATTTTCTATGTCACTGCTATATTTAAAGTCATCCTCAGAAGAGGGACACAGTTTTAAAAGAAGGAAGGAAATTTTAAGACAGATGAATATACCTCTTTAGCAACAGTATGCCAGTGCAGGTGAGTTTCACACACATCCATCCTTTCCTGGTGAAGGAACTTGCACTTGTCTGGCACCAGAAGGGCATCACTCACAAACTCGCCCACTGAAAGGGAAAAAAATAAGAAAAAATACAAAAAATATTAATTTTGCTTCCAATACCTCATCCTGTTAAATCTCTAGCTAGGCACAGAGCAGCTTTTATAAATGAGTGGCAGGGTTTGTTTGCAGCAAATTGTTTCTAAATGGTGCTTCCACTACAACCTTCTTGCAACTTGCCCTGGGGAAGTAGCTCCCTGTCTTTGATCTCGGATGTATTAGGCTATGAAGATCTCAGCCTAATATGCCAACTTCCATATACCCAGGGTGAAACTTGCAAGACCCACTGCAGACATGTGTGGTGCAACATGAAGTCAGGAGTTGGTGGATTCAGTTCCAGGAAGGGGACTATGGGGACAGGGAGGGACAACTACATTTTGCACCTTAATAGCAGCAGGGAGAGGGTGTGAAGTGTTCTGTAATTAATACTTGAGTTTTTCCACACAAAACCAATCTGATGTCAACACATTGTGTCAAACAATTTGAGAGTATTCCTACTGAATTAAAGTACTAACAGTAACACAGTCAACTTAGTTATTTTTGTTGATGCAGCCTCTTCATTGCAACCTCATTTCATCAGCCAGATGAATTCAGGTTAGCTCAGACAGTTGATAAGCAAGTAGAGCTCATCAGCCAAGGAACAAGATGATTCATGATCACCAGAGTATCTGGTGAGACTGAAGTGGGGAAAAAAGGGTCTTCACCAAGGACATAACTCAAACAGATTGTTCCATCTTCAACAATAGAACAAAATTTACATGTTCATGAAATAAACAATGCTCACTGCTTCAGTACTGACAAATAAGAAACTCAGCTGATAAGTAACATGATTTATTAGACTAAAATCATTGTAATCCTGTACAAATCTAGCATTGCGATGAAATAACCCCAAACCCCCACGAAAATATTTTTAAAGGAAACATTACAGAGAACTTTCAAGAAGTCTATATATTGAACAAACACTGAATTATCAAGGCACATGACTCAGGTTACATAAATCCCTGAAGCTCTGTAGTCTGTAATGCCCGTGTTAAATGAAAGAATGAAGATGGTCCAATGGCTGTGAGGATGCAATAACAGGTTAATTAATCAAAATAAGATGACTACTGAGGGTCATCTCAGGGAGCTGAAGAACTGGCCCTTGAGGCTTACAATTAAAAAGTCAGTTTTAAAAATAACAAACACCCAGTGCATTGGGAGAAAGCATAATTCAACAAATATATACTGTCACTAATCACCAAGACGTTTATTTCACCTGAAATTCCTTGCTACATTTCAATGCTTTGGATCTGAGGCTGTTAAAAACCAATTGGATGGTTTAGTAGAAAAAAAGTTTAATCTTCATCCCTCAGATATTTTGTTATTCAAATTAATATTATTTTCGTTATTATCTTTGTCCCTCACTTACTCTACTGTCTGCAAATTATTAACAGAAATGCTTTTTCTAGAGGTGTCCAAAATAAAGTTGCAAGAAGAATGACTTAAAACTCACCCTGGTAATACAAAATACAAAATTTGCACCTTTGGATAACAAAATTTCTGCTCACAGTGGTATCACATACAAATCTTGCAGTGAAATTTGATAAATTTGCAGCTTTGTAGGGTACCAGCCTGCCACATACTTTAAGTCACTCAGACCACAATTAACTGCCAATTGCTAATGCTTCAATCTAGTCAAGCACCTGAGTACTCAGCAAGCACACCGGTGCTGCTTTGCTGAAGACTCAAGAGTATGTTGACTTTGCTCTCCAAGGACAAGATGACTTCATACAGAACTGCAGTTACACCTTTCTGGCTGTTCAAGCATGCAAAATATTCCAAGCAGCCTTTATAGCAAACATTTCTATAAAACAACATAAAAAATCCTGGAGTTTGCTTTACTCCAGCAAATTAATCCACTTTCTGAAGCTTGCACACAAAGCATCTATGAGAGCTTGTGTCATCTACCTGATTTTTGACACACACAAACGCACAAGTCGAAATATGAACACACCTGATAACCTCTGCACAAAGCTATTCCACTCACTTTAATACCCTGTAGTATCTCCAGAATATTATGAGCATGAAGTTAGAAAGCAATCAATGGTATACCCAGCATGCTGTGCTGGCAGAAGGACCTTGACAGGTTGGGCAGAGAAGAACTGTCTGAAGTTCAACAAAGGCAAATGCAGGGTAATGCACCTGAGGAAGAATACCCCAGGCACCAGTGCAGGCTAGGGACCAACCTGCTGGAAAGCAGCTCGGCAGAGAAGAACCACGGGGTCCTGGTGGACAACAAGCTGTCCACGAGCCAGCAGCGTGCCCTGGGGGCCAGGAAGGCCAATGTCATCCTGGGGTGCATTAGAAAGAGCATTGCCAGCAGGCAGAGGGAGGTGATCCTGACCCTCTGAGGGCACATCTGGAGTGCTGTGTCCAGTTCTGGGCTCCTCGAGACAAAAGAGACATGGAGCTCCTGGAGCAGGTCCAATGGATGGGTAACAAAGGTGATTAAAGAACTGGAGCATCTCTCTTAAGAGGACAGGCTGAGAGTGCTGGGCCTGCTCAGCTTTGAAAAGAGGTGAGTCAGATGGGACCTCATCAATGCCTACATGCCTCTGAAAGGAGGGTGTCAAGAGGATGGAGCCAGGCTCTGCTCAGTGGTGCCAAGCAATAGCAAGAGAGGCAATAGGCAGAAACTGATGCACAGGAAGTTCTACCTGAACATAAGGAAGAACTTCTTTACTGTGTGAGTGACTGTGCACTGGAACAGATTGCCTAGAGAGGGTGTGGAGTCTCCCTCACTGGAGATATTCAAGAACTGCCTGCATGCAATCCTGAGCCATGTGCTCTAGCCTTGTGCCTTGCTTGAGCATGGAGGTTGGAGCAGATGACTCACTGTGGTCCCTTTCAACCTGACCCATTCTGGGATTCTGTAAAAAGTAACAAATATGGGTGCACCACTGACTTACAGTCACCAGTCAAAAAATGGAAAGTTCAAAAGCCCAAAGTTTTGGGCAATGTAGCCTGGGCTGCAGTGTCGTTTAAGGTATGCGTGAGTATGCAGTTAAAATAAAGCACACTGATATCCATGGGGAGAAGGATGGCTGTTCAATGTAACACTACTTCATTATAGAGAATTATAATAAATTAAGGTTACAAAAACCTGGGCAGTAGCAATCACTTGCAACTTTACATATGATACCTATTGCGTTCAACTATTTTTCATTACAAGTAAAATTTATCTCTGTCCATTATTTAGACATGCACAGAGATTATGATCTGGAAACTTCATTCCTTTCACAACAATTAGTACTGCAGTTTATATGCAAAACTTTGAACTTTTCTTATATTTTTGTTGTTGCTCCTTTAAAGAAATTAATGTTCAGTTAGCAGTCTGATGAACTAAACTGAATTCATGTGACAACTGCAACACTTATTTTGCCTGGGCTAGTCTAATAGAAACAAAATCCATCAGTAAGAAGTATTTTTAACACTTCTGACTTGCAGCAAGCTTCCACCTGTATCACTCCAGTCGATATGTAACTTTCAATGCTGCTGAGTCATAAGACTTTGAGGATTCTCTGTTTTTTTGAATAAGTAACCCACAGAATACACAGGGGAAACAAGCACACATGAAGGGAGAACAATCCTGTGCCTCCAAAGAGAGGGAGTAACACATATGGCTTTAAAACTAAGTAAAAACTGTGATACTGCTTCTCTTTGCCAGCATATGCCATGACTGAGAGCTGTGCACTAGCACATTTTTTGACTGATGGAGCATCCCAGCCCTGCATTGGTTGGAATTGCTACCACCAGGTGCTGGGATGGCAAAATTCAACTCCAATACTAATTTTTCTTCCAACACAGCAACAAACTGACTAGCACCACACCAGGCTGTCCTCAACACCCTACCTGCAACACTCAAGTTGGATGAGCATTTCCCCAGGTAGCAGCACTGCCTTAAAAGCTTCCCTGGCCCCATGCTGTCTCCTTGTCCGTACCAGCACCCTGTCCCTGCTTCCCCACCACCTACCCAGCGAGCCAACAGCTAAACCCCAATGACACCATGGATACGAGGGCTTGCAAAATTTGTACCAAGTCCACGCCACAAAGGGTTGGTATCATTACCACCACCAGCACTACCTCTGTCTGCCTTACATTAATCACTATTTTCCAGGACTTTTCCGCTTTCCTCAGCATCTCTTGTATTTTGATTACAGCTAGAAATCTCTGCTCTGCAGAGGTACTCTAATAATAAGCCATGATGGCACCATTTGTCTGTTGGTGAACTCATAAATCACTAAATTCCCTCAAGTGATTCAGCACACAAATATAACAGCTACCTCTGTCTGCCTTACATTAATCACTATTTTCCAGGACTTTTCCGCTTTCCTCAGCATCTCTTGTATTTTGATTACAGCTAGAAATCTCTGCTCTGCAGAGGTACTCTAATAATAAGCCATGATGGCACCATTTGTCTGTTGGTGAACTCATAAATCACTAAATTCCCTCAAGTGATTCAGCACACAAATATAACAGCTAGTTCCAGTAG